AAGGATTTATATATATTGGAAATTGACCTTCATTTACCTCAGCTCAAGTGTTATTCTTTCAGGGAAACCTTTCATTGATTTTCTCTCCACCAATCTAAATAACTTTCCTCATTATAATTTCTTAGACCATGTATTCAATAACTACATATTATATTTGTATGATTATTTGATATTTATATCTCTTATTAGTCTGTAAGCTACATAAAAATAGGGATTCTGCCAATTTTGTTTACTGATGTGTTCTCAGTACCTAGCACAGTTATATATACTCAGTGAATATTTGTGAAATGAATAAATGAATTGATCCATATCCAAAAATCTGATAAAATGTCTAAAATATAGCAAAGTTTCAAATACTGTGGGATTTAAATGGAATGAAATTAAATTTTGAATTACTAGATAATGATGGGATGGTAGATAAAGAAGAGGTTATTAAGGGAAAATAGAGGTGCTTGGGGAAATGGATTTAATCTTTTAAACTGATTATTCATTCACTCATTCATTCATTCAACAAATATCCCTGCCTCGTGAAGCTTCTAGTCTACAGAAGGAAGACATAATAAAAAGATTACTGAGTAAACTATATGGTATATTGGATGGTGATAAATGCTTTATAGAAAAATAAAACAGGGAAGAGGAGTGGGGAATATTGGCAGGATTGCACCCTGAGAAAGCCAAATTTGATTGAAGTCTCTAGGAGGTGAGAGAAGGAGCCAATCTAGGGCTAAAGCAAATCAAAGGTTCTGAGGGGAGAGTGTGCCTGGAGTCTAATGTGATGATTCAAGCAAGAAGTGATGGTGGCTTGGATGAGGGTAGTAGCAGTGGAGGCATGAGAAATAGTTGAAATTCCTATATTTTGGAAAAGAGCAAATAATGACTTGCTAGGGGATAGGGTGTGTGTTGTAAGAGAGAGAGAGAGCAGAGGTAAAGATTAGTCCAAGGCCTGAGCCACTGGAAGGGCAGTATTGCCATAAAGATGGAGCAGACTCTGGAAAGTACAAGGTATTTTTTGGGGGGAGGTAGGAGGAAGCAATAATTTTTTGTATGTGTTAAGTTTGAAGTGCCTGTTAGACTTTAAGAGATGTGGAGTAGGCAGTGAGCCATAGAAGTGTGGAGTTTCAGGGGAGAGGTATAGGCTAGGAATGTATATTTGGAAATCATCAGCATATAGATGATTGTTAAACCTGAGATACTGAATGAAATTCCCAAGAGAGTGAGTGTCAATAGACAAGAAAAGAGATCCAAGAACTGAGCCTGAGACAGTCCCGTAGAAAACAATTGGGAGAGAAAATCACAGAGGACACTGGCGATGACTAAATACCCAGCCTGAAGTTATCTAAAAAAGGCTAATATTCTGTTGATAGAAAAAGAGTAAAGAGGGCAGGGAGGGTCAATATTTTCAAGATAAAATTTGAAGAAAAAGTTTGAAGCTGATGAGATCTGTACCAAAGCTTTGAGTATTGCTGCCTTTATAGTAGCCATAATCATGGGCAGATAGTTCAGATTAAAGAATTTGACTTGGTATTTTATCTAATTTTATTTTTGGTGAGGAAGATTGTCCCTGAGCTGACATCCGTGCCAATCTTCCTCTATTTTGCATATGGGATGCCACCACAGCATGGCTTGACGAGTGGTGTGTGGGTGCATGCCTGGGATTGAACCTGTGAACGCCAGGCTGCTGAAGCAGAGCACATGAACTTAACCACTAGGCCACCAGGCCGGGCCTTGACTTGTTATTTTTATTTATGGTGTAGTATCCTATCCTATTCTTAGTCATGGATCAATCCATTATCCCCTCAGGTGGCCAATAGGAGGAATAGAGTATTTTGATTGACAGAACACTAAGGGTTAACCCATTTCAATAGTGAAATAGGCTACATAGTAAGGGTGCCTCGGGGAGAAACAAGGGTCTACCTCTTGCCATATGACATTTGAAGGGGATTATTTCACGTATGAAGAATTCAGTATTTCACAGAAGTGTTCACCATGGAATTCCCTTAAGTAGCAAGCTCGCTGTCGTATATTTGAATTGCAAATTTGATTGGAAAATAACTTTTTAGGGGCACATTGGATATGAAATAGATCCACCAGTGTCTTTAGAAGGTAGACTGAGAAGGAAAATCTTTTGGAGTCAATGAGTACAAGGAAAGTATCTTTAAAGAGTCTGAGGACCTTGGTTCAAATCTTGTTTGTCAAAAAACAAAACAACACAAACTCTGCACTGTCTGCTCAATTTATCTATAAACCTAAAACTGTTCTAAAAATAAGTCTATTAATTAAAAAAAACTCAGAGTGAAAGAGTTACACAAAGATGAGTAGGCACCACTGATTTGGAAGAGAAATAATTTTTTTCCTAGGTAAAAAGCCCAGCATATCAAAAAGACAGACAATAACAGGAGTTGGTGAGGATGTGAAGAAAGCTGAACTCTTGTACGTTGCTGAAGAGGCTGTGAAATGGTGCAGCTCCTTTGGAAGACGGTTGGGCAGTTCCTCAAAAGCTAAACATAAAATTACATATGACCCAGTAATTCTGCTCCTGCATATATACCCTAAAGAATTGAAAACGGACTCAAACAGATACTTGGACACCAATGTTCACTGCAGCATTATTCACAATAACGAAAGGGTGGAAACAACCCAGATGTCTGTCAACTGATGAATGGATAAACAAATTATGGTCTATCCATACAATGGAATATTATTCAGCCCTAAAGAGGAATGAAGCACTGACACATAGCACCAACATGAATGAACTTTGAAAATATGCTAAATGCAAGAAGTCAGACACAAAAGGCCACCTATTATATGACCCCAGTTATATGAAACGTCCAGAATAGGCAAATTCATCAAGACAGAAAGTAAATTAGTGGTTGCTTAGGGCTGGGGGGAAATAGGAACCACTAAGGGGTGCAAGGTTTCTTTTGGGGATGAAAATGTTCTAAAATTAGATTATGGTGTTGGTTGCACAACTCTGTAAATACACTAAGAAACACTGAATTGTATGCTTTAAACAGGTGATCTTTAAAGTCTGTAAATTATACCTCCCGAAAGCTGTTTTTTAAAAAAATCCAGCATGTGGTTTAGCTTATTAGGATGGCTTGTGAGGGATTTCACTGGAGCTTCTTGATAGCAAAATATAGATTGGTTCCTCTAATTCCAGTTGATGACATGGATATTTTCCTTTGGAATGAGCAGATCCATCATGTTACCAGTAACCTGAAGATCAAACAACTGGCATTTCTGATCAGGAGAACCCAGGTTTGAAGGGATAAAATGATCAAAATATGTAGGCTATAAGATGGAAACACTTTCAACATTTTTCCCCCTTTTCTTGAGAGGGTAGAGCATGAGACAACTCAGATAATAGTAATAATATATACATGGCTTTTATTATGTGCCAGATAGTGTTCTAGGTGTATTGTGTTTATGAAACTCTGTTTACATCCTTCCGGCTGCACTATGAGGTAGGTACTACTATTCGTACTTTTCAGATGAGAAACCGAGGCACAGAAAGGTAAGATACTTTGTTCCTAGAAAATAGCAGAGCCAGGATTGTAGCCAGGCAGTCTGGCTCATGAGCCCATGCTTATGATCACTATGCTGGAGGTGTACTGACTCAGGCTTGTCCAGGATCACTTAAAGTTTATGGCAGGTGAGCAGTAAAGAATATCAATTTCATTAATTCCCCTTTCTTTCTAGCATCCTGGGAGAAAGAAGGTCACTAGTTGTTATGATTGGTCACTCTTTGACACTTAACTGTAGTACTGGGTTAGGATTATTTTCCTGGAGACCTGTAACTGCAAATATATCATTTCCGGTTATTCTCCACTTTCTACTGCTTCCCTCTCTTTGCCTGGTTGGCCTTTCTTCTCCACAACCTCCTTCATCACTAGCCCACCCCTTCTTCCTCTAGTCTAAGTAAGCACAGTTCACCACACACACAGGAACTTGTTCTTGTTGTATATTATACTATTTATTGAAGAACTTGGAATTATTGATAGAGATGCCACTAGTTTACATTGAATAATTTGGACATGGGGCTAGACTTCTTGCCCTCTCTCCTCCAATGCAAAGAAGTATGTTGTTAGGCCTATAAATAAATTTATGGGGGGGATGATTAAACAACTAAGAACCTGACTATAAATACTTCCTTTCTAGTCACTAAAGCATGTCACTTAAGGAATAAATATTTTTGTTAGCCTAGCCCACTCAGGATATTGCATGTAAGTTAGAGTAATAAAATTGCTTTTTTTAAAAAACAAATATCTTCACATCTTCTCAGAATAGCTGCTCCTCATTAATCTTAATTCCTGAGGTTTCCCTAAAAGGATATTTCATTTTTTCTATTCAACGTCTTGGTATCAGAATTCCCTTGTATTTCGGGCTGTGGCTAACTCACTATAAACAGCCTTCATGCATACTTGTCTCTCCTGTTTATTTAGTAAATAAGAAAAACAATTTAACACATCATTGTATAGAATTACTAAGGGACCTACTAATCTTAAAGTGGTGATTGGAATTTTGAATTATGAGTCTGTTTTTCACATTTGAAATAACCTCATAGCCATTCAGCTATAATTTCTTGTTTTAATTTTCTTACTTTTTTTTTTTTGGTGAGGAAGATTGGCCCTGAGCTAACATCTGTTGCCAATCCTCCTCTTTTTGCTTGAGGAAGATTAGCCCTGAGCTAACATCTGTGCCAATCTTTCCTCTATTTTGTATGTGGGTTGCTGCCACAGTATGGCTTGATGAGTGGTGTAGGTCCACAGCTGGGATCCGAACCCGGGGACCCGGGCTGTTGAAATGGAACACACTGGACTTATCTACAACACCACTGGGTCAGCCCCTGGTTTTCTTACTTTTTAAACCTCCTCTGAGATGACATGACACCAGTTTGCTTTTCTATAAGAAGTGCCTTAATATTTGTTGAATGGCTCAGTGGGCAAATCTGTAAAAATATTATGAGTGGTAAAAGCACAATGAACAGTTTTGTAAGACAGTGTGGCATTTTACTGGACCAATGACTATGTTATCTCAGCGTGTTTGTCAGCTTTTTAGTGCCTTAATGTCAGTACAATTGAGACAGAACTGGAACCGATAGGGATTTATTATAGAAAATAGGAAATATGATTTGATCATGGGATTGTTGGGAACATACAACAAATAAAAACAAACCTAAACAAATAAAGAGACCTCCCTCAGTCTCTTGGTCTTACATGATTTTAGTCCCTCCAGTGCTCTGGAGCAAATGCATCCTGCTTGTCCCATTGTGTAGAAGGCATTTTGAAGGAAGCAGGAACTACTTTGTGCCTTAAAACAGACTGACATCCTAAGCAGCTGCAATGGCCGTTTCTAGGACTCCTCATGAGAGGGCTCTTTGAGCTCAGTGGCTGATTATGGTCCCAACAGCTTGTAAATCCAGTGAACATATGGCTGGGCAGTAGCATATTGCACTGTCATGCACTTTACCCTGCCGCAGTTGATCCATTAGGTGGAGCCCATCTTTCCCGTTCAGCAACGCTGCGAGACTATGGCTTCAAGGATTCAACTGTGTCAAGACCTGTCTGCTGGCTCCGTGTGATCATGTTTTCATTTCTTATGCTTACTTAGCACTTTATGGTATTGCGCAAAGCAACTACTTTGGAAAATTTTAACAGTGAAAACACACTGAAATTGCTATCAGCATATCACACAGTGCTTTGTCAATAATGCAGTTGTACTGTGAGGGGTGTTCTTAAACTGCTGTGTCTCATTAGTCCACATTTCTAAATTTGCAGATTAACTCCAGCAGTAGGACATATCAATAGATTTCCTTTTGTAAAAAATAACTGGTTAGCCCTCTTGGTATGGTTTATGCTTTCAGGAAGCCATGCACTTTTATTTCTTTGAGATAATTGTATCAGTGTGGTCTGTTCATTTGTGGCTCACTTTTGACTTTTCTTAGCAAATATCCTAAGGAAACATTACACTTCAAGAAATGCCAGCAAAAATATGAGTCAAAATTCTTATAAGTGTTTAATGCTCCTTGACCTAGTAATACTGCTTTGGAGAATTTATCCTAAGGGATTAAACAGATGTGTCAAAGATTTATGAGCAAGGGTATTTATAGTGATATTATAACAGTGAGAAATTGGAAATAATATACATGTACGACTATAGGGAAATGGTTAAAATATCATATACTCATATGTTGAAAAGAACCTGCAACCATTACAAGTCATGTTTTGGAAGAAAACTTAATGACATAGGAAAATATGCACAATATAATGTTAAGTGAAGAAAACAGATGGAGGGGAATAAAAGTGATCATCTCTGGATTGTACAATTATGGATACTTTATGATTTTCTGTATTTTCAAAAATTTCTGAAATGAAAACAAAATGCTTTTATAATCAGAAAATAATGAACACCATATATGCATCAATGTAAATCTCTAAAAGAAATCCCAGCAAAGCTAGGGCAATTTTAGCACCTAGCTCTCAATAAATGTTTGTGGGGGAGGTAGACAGATGGATGGACAGATTGATGAATGACAGTTGACACTTGTAGGTACTATCATTGAGTTTATATGACTGAAGAACTAACAAATGAAGATTTAATTAAAAGGAGAAAATTTCCAGACCAGTCAGCAGTTTGAAGGATGACATGGAAGGTACTGAAGGAGTCACAAAATAAGTGAGTGGCTGACAGCAGCCAAGTAGTTGTGGTCTGGCCTTGGGTCCATTGCTGCTCTTGTTGCTCAGCTGTAAACACCATGTTTCCTCTTGTTCTATGTGTATCCTTGAACTATCTCTTATGCCTGCTGTTTTCACTGGTCTCTATTTACTTTGGCCAGTGACTGAGCAAGTGAGAATGAAATCAAAGTCACGAGTTCATTTCCCATTTGAACCAGTGAACACTTCTCTGTGTAGGGAGAAGATATCCCAAGGCTAATTAATTCTGGCTGGCCAGCACTCAGGGATGGCCTTATTGGTCATGTGGCCAATCAGGAAAGTGTGGGTAGATCAGGGCAACCTGCTTCTAACACTTGTGAGACCACTCGCAATGCCCCTGTACAGAGGGCTGTGTGTTCTTATGTTCTTGAGAGCAGTCCTCTGAAACTGAGGAGTGCTATGCATACTGTTAGCTACCCGAGGAATTAGTATAAAAGTTAGTCGTGTCACAGTTTTTATAAATGGGACCGGTTGACCTACATTCTGTCCTATGAGGTCTTAATATCTTTTTCTTACTTTGATCAAATTGCTGAATGGGATTTGGCTTCTTTGCAAGTCCATCAGGAGACAACAGTGGATGCATGAATGAAATCTAAATGTTTCCTCTCCAGTGCATTCCCTTATCTGTGAAGGAGCCTGTGCCAAAGAAAGCCATTAGACTTTTGCATAGCATTCTGTATCCTTGCTCTTGGTAGCTTATTGAACACAGTGCTCTTATATGGTTACTCTTAAACCCAAGTGTATGATAATAGTGACTTGTTTGTATCTGCTCTGTCTTGATCCTGCTAATGTATTATATTTACTGTTTGTTTTAACCTGTCACCTCTCATCACTCATTTTCAAAAACCTTATTCAGGCATTGAGGAATTCACAGTTTGGAGCCTAATTGTCCTTGCCCTAGAGGTCGTAATATCTACAGATATGACAGACTCCCTTAAATTGGTCAGTTGGATGTTTTAATATTCAGGATTTTTAAGGAAGAGGAAGAGAACATTTTCTGAGCATTAAACAATGTGCTGTAGTTTACTAGGCATTTTCACCTACATTATCTGAGTTAATTCTCAGCATAACCATATAAGGTAGGCATTATTACCCCAATTTTACAAATGAGGAAACTGTAGCTTTGAGAATTTAAACAGCTGAATCATAAGTTGAACACTAGTCTGTTGGACTTCAAAGCCTGTGAATTTTCCACTGCGCATACTGACTCCCAGGGATAGCAGGGTTTCTTAGACTGAACCTAATCACACAACAATCACCTAGCTTCCCATCAGCTCCTGCCTTTCTCCTGTAACTTATTTCCATTACCTGTTACCTCAGCAAGATCAGTCCTTTGCAGCAAGGCCAGGAGAGTAAGGTTTGAACCACCAATAAGGAGGGCATTGATTTGAGCCTGCTTTCAGTTCCGTCCCAAAACACAGTTACTGTTTGTGTTTTACCTAGTTTGAGTAACTCATAACCCAATCCAAGAGTGTGCCTTATTGCTGGCATAACTGGTACTTGCTGGTGCTCAGCACTTCAAGGCATATTGGGTTCCATCATCCACTTGAGAGCCAAAAAGTTCTTCAGTTGTAGGAACACAAAGCCTACTATGATGAAGGCAAGCACAGTCCTCCTCTGGGCCAGAGTGGTAAGCAGAGCAACTGGAAGAATGCCTACCGAAGGAGAGTTGGTATGTGTTAGAATAGATCAGTGAGAAATAGGCCTTTTGGGGTGAAGGTAAAGGGTGAGGAGAGGGAGAAGGGAATTTTTAAGAGTACAAAATTTGAAAGGGATGATCATTAATCTCTAAACAACTAAGGAAAGCAAGCTCCGGTAGTTAATCTAAGACTGAAGGGGAATTTAAACCCAAGTGCAAAGCATCTTGGTATGGTGCCATCCTTTTGAGAGGAGGATGGCGGATTCCATCCAGGTTCTGAACATTGTAGTTTGAGATTTGAATGGAAATTTTCATGGGCCTCTTGGAATTAGCCATTACACATTGGACTCATGTGCATCCTCAGGCCCTCATTTCAGAGATATTGAGGGGTTAGCCTTCCAAGGTGGTTTTGGCACCAAATCCCAGACAAATTAATCCATACCCTTTTGGTTTCTTCTTGCCCTCTTTTGTTGTCCACTCAGCAGCTTTCTAAGGAAATAATCTAGTTTAGGGCCTTAAGACACAAACTTTCTAGGAATCCACTTTGGAGATCAGGAGGTTGAGGAAAGGGTTACAGGGAAGCTCAGGAAGGTTGAGTGTCATTCCTGGGTGTCTTCCCCATTCTGTTCTTGAATTTCTGCTGCCAGGATTGCCCAGAGGAAGCCTGAGCATAGTTCCCAGCTGCCAACAGTCATTTTCTTTATCCACAGAAAGCAGGGTGAGGCACCTGCTCCTCAGCTGGTCTCCCGGACCAGTTTGGAGGCGTACTCTTATGTGACTAAGTTTCTTAGGAAAATGCAAATTTGGGAGTAAATGAAAGAAGGTCAAGCTCTGAGGAGTAAAGTGGGTCCAGTGTGGAAAGCTTGGCAGTGCCTTTCTTGGTACCTACCCCTTTCCTTCTTCCTTCCCTTACACTGTCTCAGAATTTGTGGTTTATCATCAGCAAGTAGTTACAAGTGACATAAGAGGCCAACTGAGGGGACGGGGCACCACAGAGTTAGAAAGGTGGTGGTGGATTGGGAGGGGTAATAATGGAAATAATCACAAGATAGGCTATTTCCCAAAGAAACACTGTTTTGAACACCATGAAGTGTGGGAAAAGACAAGCTTTAGAATCTAATTCAGGTTCCTACATTTTATGCACACTCACTACATAAGATGTCCCATTTACATTGTGGAGGGCAGGACCCATTTTACAAAAGCAATCACTATAGTAAACAGTTAAAAAGAACAGAACTTAATTTCTCTAGTGCTGTGCTGTCTAGTATGGTAGCCACTAGCCACATGTGGCTATGGAGCATTTGAAATATGGCTAGTTTGAATTGAGATGTTCTGTAAGGGTAAAATACACATCGGACTTCAAAGATTGAGCATGAAAAAAATAGTGTAATTTTTTAATATTGATTATCTGTTGAAATGATGTTTTGGATATATATTAGGTTAAATGAAACAGTAACATTAATTTTGCCTCATTCTTTTTTTACCTTTTTAACATGGCTACTAGAACATTTAAAATTATATATGTGGCTTGCATTATATTTCTGTTACACAGTGCTGCTCTAGTGTATTCAAAAATATGACTTGATTTTTAAGCATCTTTTCAGTAGTTCATTTCTTGCTTTAATTAAGTATACCTGTACAGGAGAACCAGACTCATTGCAAAAGAAGGACAGAGAGGAATGGAGATTTGCAAACGGGGAAACTGACTATAAAAAACGTCAGCACTCTGCCTCAGTTACCTCTCAGTCTGGAGTGAGAGGGTGCAGGGAGTGGTCAATTGCCTGAAGCAAGTGCTCTCATTCTCCTAGCTCCATCTGATCTAGTTAGGGCCCAGAGAGGGGAGGGAGAAGGCACTTTGAAGCTTTTCTGCCCTTACCGTCTTAGCCATCAAGCTGTGCGTGGGAGATAGTGGCGATGTGATAGGAACTTTCCCTGGGCCCCTCTGGGGCACCATCCCTGGCCAAGAGAAGGAGGAGGAATGAGGTGAGCCGCTTCTTCACTCCCAAGGCCATCTGGTAGAGCTGCTGCCGTACCTCCTTCTGCCAGTAAGCGTAGATGAGTGGGTTGAGCAGGGAGTTGCTCACACCAAGCAGCCACAGGTACTGTTCCAGCACTGTGTAGAGGCGGCACTCCTGGCAGGCCACCTGCACAATGCTGGTGATAAGGAATGGGGTCCAGGACAGAGTGAAGGTCCCAATGAGAACAGCCACTGTGCGGACAGCCTTGAAGTCACTAGGAGTCCGTGGAGGCCGGTAAGTTCTGGCCGTGGCTCCTGCATGTTCCATCTTTCGGATCTGCTGGCTGTGCATGGAGGCAACCTTGAGCATGTCACAGTAGAAGAAGACAAAGAGGAGCAGGGCTGGGAAGAAGCCAATGCAGGAGAGGATCAGCACGAAGAGTGGGTGAAACACAGCAAAGAAGGTACAGGGGCTGTGGTAGGTGGTCTGCTGGAATATGGGGACTCCAAGTGGGAGGAAGCCAATGAAGTAAGACAACAACCACAGCCCAGCAATGCAGGCTCCAGCCACTAGCCCATTCATTATCTGTAAGTAGCGAAGGGGCTGCTTGATGGCAAGGTACCTGTCGAAGGCAATCAGCATGACCGTGAGGACAGAGGCAGCTGCGGAGGAAGTGACAAATGCCATCCGAAGGCTGCACAGGGTCTTCTGTGTGGGCTGAGCTGGAGTGGAGAGCTGGTCTGTGACTAGGCCAGAGATGGCCACACCAAGCAAGGCATCAGCCACAGCCAGATTCAAGGTGAAGCAAAGACCGGCACCATCATTCTTGTGGATTAACAACAGCACAGCTATGGCCACTAGTGCATTAGCGGCAATAATGAGGGAGGCCAGGCCAGCAAGGATCACTCCAAATAGGAAAGATGACTCCATGTCTTGAAGTGGCAGGATTTCCACTTACCAGGGCATGCTGGCTCTCCGGCTCAAATTCTCACGGGCTGGGGAAGAAGGAGCTGTGGGTTCAGAGCTGCCGCACAGTTCTGATCATCACTGGCAGTCCAGGCTGGCAGCTCTCCACCTTTGGGATCCTGCTGGTCATTAAGAAGAACCTACTGGTCACCCTCTCTTTTTCAGTCCTCAGCCTCTTGCCTCTCCAGCTCTCTGAAGGCAGCAATTCCAGAGCAGACCTCCCCCTGGGCCCTGAGCTAGTCCCTCCCCCTCCAGCAACCAAGTTACTAGACAACTCCCAAGTACCTGGTACACAATGTCTTGCCAGGCTCTCTCCCTTTACTGATGCTTCAGGGACTTTGTTTGGAGGGACTGGGGATTCATCATGTCTCCTGTCTCGCAGAAGATATAATTGACTCTAATCACACTTTTTCTTCCTCCATAACTTGATATTAAGTTTCGACTTCCTTTCTTCCTAAACCTCAAGTACTACCTTAACAACTAATCTCAGCTTGATTAAGCATTTGCTTAATAACTAATTTTCAGTTACTATTATGACTTCTTTTAATCAAGCAAGATGATCATAATCAGTCGAAGTGGGAAGTGAAGGCAAGCAAGCTATTTCAGGGCACACCATACTTTCAGGGGGGTTACCACACATTTAAGCTGTTTCTTATCTTTTGCTTCCTGACACCTCAGATTCTAATTCTCTCAAATAGGGTATGCTCTTCCCCTGTATCTCATCCCTCGGAACTCAGTTAGTTGAGGATTCAAAAGGGGAGGAAAAACAAGCAGAGAATTGTTAATAGCTGTCATTCAGTTTAGAATAGAGCCCGTTCCCCGTCTAAAGATGCTGTCTCTTGGGTCTACTCATTGAGAACTTTCTCTACACCATGTCGGGCCATGTCTCTGGTCATGAGTAGTCACTGCAAGCCTTGCCTGTCTTGATCCTGTAGAGCTATCTTTGGGACAGGAGAAGAGGAGGTGGATTGCATTCTGGAAAGTGAACTAATGTTTGGTTGTGGAATTTTCCATTTTCCAGGGATAGGGTGGCAGTGTTGCTGAGGTAGGTGAAATGGGCTCAGGGAGGGCAGCTGTGTATGTCACTCCTATTTTAGGTTGTATATCCATTTGCTCGGGTGCATTAGAACTAACCTTTTGCCTGGTACTCTCATCTTGGATACCAAGAAGAGAGGGGTGGGGAGAAGAGCTATTAGAAGCTTATTTACTCAGTTCAGGTGAGAGCACAAATGGGAAAGATTAATGTTTTAAGTGAGGGAGTGGTGAGCAAGATGCAGAGTTGGAGGCAAATATATTCCAGGATGTTTTGACAGTGTGAGAGGGCCTTTGGCAGATGACTCTCCTACAAAGAATCAGAAAGGCTTTGGTGTGGGGATTGGGTTTTCCAGTTGCCAGCCTGAGGATAGTCCTTTTAAAATTATTGTTTACTTTTTATTGAGGTGACATTGGTTTATAACATTATATAAATTTGAGGTGTACATCATTATATTTCGATTTCTGTGTAGGCTACATTGTGTTCACCACCCAAAGTCTAGTTTCCGTCCATCACCATACACATATGGGCTTTTACCCGTTTTGCCCTCATCCCTCCCCGCCTCCCCTCTGGTAACCATCAGTCTGTTCTCTGTGTCTATGTGTTTGTTTCTTGTTGTTGTTTTTATATTTCACAGAGAAATCGTACAGTATTTGGCTTTTTCTATCTAACTTATTTTGCTTAGCATAATGCCCTCAAGGTCCACTCACGTTGTTGCAAATGGCAAGATTTCGCCTTTTTAATGGCTGAGTAGTATTCCACTGTGTGTGTGTGTGTGTGTGTGTGTGTGTGTATAGGCACTTAGGTTGTTTCTAAATCTTGGCTATTGTGAATAATGCTGCAATGAACATAGGGCTGCATATATCTTTTCAGATTATTGTTTTTGTGTTCTTTGGATAAATGCCCAGCAGTGGGATAACTGGATCATATGGTAGTTCTAATCTTAATCTTTTGAGGAATCTCTATACTGTTTTCCATAGTGGCTGCACCAGTTTACATTCCAACCAGCAGTGTATAAGAGTTCTCTTTTTGCCACATCCTCTCCAACACTTGTTAATTCTTGTCTTTTTAATAGTAGCCATTCTGACTGGCATGAGGTGTTATCTCATTGTAGTTTTTATTTGCATTTCCCTAACAATTAGTGATGTTGAACATCTTTTTATGTACCTGTTGGCCATCTGTATATCTTCTTTGGAAAAATGTCTGTTCAGATCCTCTGCCCATTTTTTAATTGGGTTTTTTATTGTTGAGTTGTATGTGTTATTTATATATTTTAGATCTTAACCCCTTATCAGATACATGATTTTTAAATATCTTCTCCCAATTTTTAGGTTGTCCTTTTGTTTTGTTGATGGTTTCCTTTGATGTGCAGAAGTTTTTTAGTTTGATGTAGTCCCATTTGTTTATTTTTTCTTTTCTTTCTCTTGCCTGAGGAGACATGATACTCAAAAAGATACTGCTAAGACCCCTATCAAAGAGCATACTGCCTATGTTTTCTTCTAGGAGTTTTATGGTTTTGGATCTTACATTCAAGTCTTTAACCCATTTTGAGTTAATTTTTGTGTATGGTGTGAGATAATGGTCTACTTTCATTCTTTTGCATGTGGCTGTCCAGTTTTCCCAGCACCATTTATTGAAGAGAGTTTCCTTTCTCCATTGTATGTTCTTGGCTCCCTTGTTGAAAATTAGCTGTCCATAGATGTGTGGGTTTATTTCTGGGCTCCCGCTTCTGTTCCATTGACCTGTGTGTCTGTTTTTGTGCCAGTACTATGCTGTTTTGATTACTATGGGTTTGTAGTATATTTTGAAATCAGAGTATGATACCTCTAGCTTTGTTCTTTTTTCTCGGGATTGCTTTGGCTATTCGGGGTCTGGTGTTGTTCCATATTACATTTTAGGATTCCTTGTTCTATTTCAATGAAAAATGTCATTGGGACTTTGATAGGGATTGCATTGAATCTAGAACAGTTCTTATTCTTTGGTACATCCATTTAAGAGGCTGATTTCAGTTGTTTAGCACCTGGCCTAATTTTATACCTGGATGTAAGGTGTATTTTTGTTTCTCCAGCCCTTGACTCCATGCATGGAGTCGAGATGGCCCTTTTTATGCCTATGCTCAAACTCAAGTGTTCATCAGAATCCCGTGGAAGGCTTGTTAACACCCGGATTCTTGGGCCTCACTCCCAGAGTTTTGGCTTCATTGTGCCTGGGCTGGGGTCTGAGAATATTCATTTCTAACAAGTTCCCAGGTGATGCTGATGCTGCTGGTTCAGGGCCCCCACTTTGAGAACCACTGCTCTAGTGCAATGGTTCTTAGCCTTAACTGTGCAGTGGACTCACTTGGTCATTCCAAAAATATTGATGTTTGAGTCACACACCAAGAGATTCTGATGTCATTAGTCTGGGGTGTGTCCTATGCATCTGGAGCTTTAAAAGATCCTCAGGTGATTCTAATATGAAGCCAGGGGTGAGAATCAGCGTTCAATGGCAAAAGCACAGGCTCTGGAGTCAGGATACCTGGGGGCCAGCCCAACACTACCTCTATGATTTTGTTTGGAGAAATGTCTTCACCTCTGTGACTTAGCTTTGGCTTCCTCGTGTGTAACATGGGGACAATAATACCTACCTCACAGGGTTTTGGGGATGATAAAATGAGGTATGATGGATATGAAAAGGCTTCATGAGCTGTAAAATATTACACAGATACTTTTTTTGAGTGTCTTCTTTCTAGTCTTTTGTTAATCAAAGTGTGTATCAGATCCAGAGCATTGGTGTGACCTGAGAGCTGGGTGGAAATGCAGAACCTCAGGCCCAGCTCAAGACCCACTGAAGAAGAGTCTACATTTGAACAAGATCTCCAGTGATCTGTATGCACATTAAAGTTGTCCTTTCCTCTCTCCCACTCTCAGGTGCCTGGTTGTATTAGTTTCCTTTTCCTGCTGTAACAAACTACTACAAACATAGTGACTTAACCCAAATTTATTATCTTACAGTTCTTGAAGTCAGAAGTCCAAAGTGGGTCTTACAGGGCTCAAATCAAATTGTTGATAGGGCTGCATTCCTTTGGGAGGCTCTAGGGGAGGATAATTTCCTTGCCTTTTTCAGCTTTTAGAAGCTGCCTGCATTCTTTGGCTCATGGCACATCACTCCAACTTCTGCTTCCATAGTCACATCCCCTTCTCTGGCTTTGACTCTTCCTCCTCCCTCTTTTAAAGACCTTTGTGATTACATTGAGTGTACCTGGATAATCCCTGATATCCTCCCCATCTCAAGGTCCTTAACTTAATCAATCTGCGAAGTGCCTTTTGCTGTGTAAGGTAACATAGCCACAGGTTCCGAGGATTAGGATGTGCACATCTTTGGTGGTGGTGGGGGGAGAGGCATTATGCTGCTTACTACACCGGTATTTTCTGCTGCCCAGGTCTCTTCTCCCTCCATCCTCCAACAAATGCTCTTCTTAGTTTACTCTTCCTTTGCTTGTGCCCTATATATTTCTTTTCTTTTAGGCATCAACACTTTCCTGTTTTCTCTCTTGTCCTCTCATGAACCCACAAGCTGAATCGAACTAACTTAGGCAGCCTAGGAAAATAGTGAGCTCTCAGTCTTTGGAAGTAAGCAAGCAAAGGCTAAATGCACGCCTTTCAGGAAGGCCTTAGAGGAGATTCCTGTAGTGGTGTAAAACATCATTATTCCCATTGAATTGTCTTTGAGTCCCTACACAATCTGTTTTTGATGGGCCCCTGGGAGTTTTTTCCCTTCCCTCAGCTCCCTCCCATCTTTCTTAGCTACCCCACCTCTTTGTCCCCTTTGGTCTTTCCTACCCCCTTTCCCACACCACCACGTGGTCTCAGCTGTGTGTCCTAGGGGTGTGCCCATGCCGTAAGGTCAAGGCCACAGAGAATGTGGTTCCTCCTGGGAGGTCGGTGGCTGGTCCTTGCGGTCCTGCCCCACTGGAGCAGGCTGAGAGCTCTCAGAGTCTCTAGAGTGGAGCACTGAAAGGCATACAAACCAGGATTGAGAAAGGGAAGAAGGTAAAGTATGAGAGGGCTTATTCTCTGGTTAAGCTATCCCATAAATGCGAAGTGCCTTTTGCCATGTAAGGTAAAAGGATACAACGGGGTACTTCATCCATCCTGAGGGCATGGGACTGAGGACCAGGAGTTTCAGCTGGAATGGGAGTGGGGGAGACACCAGGCTTCAGCAGAGCCTGCCTGTGGAGCCAGGCCCCCACGAGAGGAGCTCTAGGAAGATATCTAAGACAAGTTGTGCCTGATTTCTTGTGGTGCCTAGAGCAGCCGTCTGCCTGTAATGGTTTAGCTGCATCTTCCCCAAGGACAAGCAGCGACATTGAATATCTCTTCCTGAATCTTGTTCATGCATTACTATGAAATATTATGCAGTGATGTGAAAAGAATGGGATAGGTTTATATGTCCTTACAGAGAGACCTCCAAGACATCTTGTTGATTGTTACATCTAGTCACACATCAATATGCAAAGTCTGGACACCCTTATGAAAATAAAACCCCAAACTCCAGCTATACGTGTGTATAAATGCATAGAAAGGAGATTGTTGACAGAGAATGAATAACTTTGAGCAGGGGGGTGGGATTGGTGGGGGTGAAGAGTGGTTGTCACAATATATATTGACTTGTTATATATTTTCACAGTGAGAATATATTCATGTAATTTCAAAAGAAAAAACCCTCCTCAAAATTCTCCCTCCCTGTTCCAGCTCAGGCACCATTTTGCAAAGGCCTTTTTCAGACCACACAAAAATGCACACACACACACACACATATACGCACACATATGTATGTACATATATAGTTATATATTTGCTTTTGCTTTTATTCTTTTTACCTGCCTGTGCTGCAGTTGTAGAAAGGTGTGTGTGTGGATTGGGAGAAATGATAGGGCAAGACAGGGTAGGAGAATCAGTATTTGAGGCTTTGGTCTCTTCTTGGAGTGGGAGGCACTTTGAGGAAACAGCCCTGGACTTCTGGGGCATCTGAGCCTTCTTGTAGCAATGATGATACCAGCTGACATTTATGGGGCCTTTAGGTGCTGAGTACTGTGCTAAATATACAGCTTAGATTCTCATTTAATCAATAATTCTATAAGTTAGGTACTATTAATACCTCAATTTTACAGATGAGGAAACCAAGGCACACAGAGAGGGTGACTTATTTCCCTAAGACTGTACAGCTTGTAAGCGATACGTGTTGGAAATTTGCAGACAGGCAAGAAGCTTGTGTGGGACAGCCAGCAAGAGCTTGTCCTGACTCTTATCCACCATGGAGACTGCATGTAGTCCCCTTTTCTTGCCAGTTTGTGCCTCTATGCCTTTGCCCATCCTATTACCTCTGACCTTCAAGCTGACACTTTTATGCTTTGGGTTTTTTTCAAAGGTGCTTGAGATGAGACTAAGTGGAAGCCTTTTTTTTTTGTTACTAAAGCCCAGCCATTGTGGAAAATGAGGATCATTTTTACCCTGAGCCCAAGGAAATCTATAAATCTGGACTCATGTGTACTTCTTCAGTTATCTCCCCTCTCTTGCTTTCCATTCGTGCTATTACCTGTCTCTTTTAGCACCTTAATATCTTTCATCTGCACAATTGTTTGCTAACTGCTCATCCTCTCTCCCCATGCTAACATCCCCCTTCCAGCATGTTTATTGAGTGCCTTATTTTGTGCTAGTTACTATGCTTAGACAGAGATTTTTCATACATTCAAGTAACACCTTGTGAGCTAGATGTTATTATCTTCAGGTTACAAGAGTAGAAGGTGAGGCTTGAAGAGGTGAAGGGACCTACCCAAGGTTACCCAACTAGGAAGGAGTGGCAGAGCTGGGATTGGAATCCAGTTCTCCTCACTCTTGGTCCAGTGGTCTTTTGCTACTCCGTGTTGCAGAAGCCTAGGTGTGGTAGGCTGAAAATTGATCCCAAAGATGTCCATGTCCTAGTCCCTGGGATCTGTGAATATATATCTTATATGGCAAAAGGGACTTTGTAGATGTCATTAAATTAAGGTTCTAGAGATGGGGAGATTATCCTGGATTTTCTGGGTGGGCCCAATGATATAATCACAAAGGTCCTTATAGGAGGAAAGTGGGAGATCAGAGTGAGCAGTATTAGGGGATGTGATGACAAGCAAGAGGTTGGAGTGATGCAAGAAAGGGATCACAAGCCAAGGAATGCAGGTGGCTTCTAGAAGCCAGAAAAGGCAAGGAAACGAATTCTTCCCTAGATGCTCCAGAAGGAACCAGGCTTGCTGAGACTTTGATATTAGCCCAGTGGAACTGATTTTGGACTTCTGACCTTGAGAACTGTAAGATAATAAATTTGTGTTTTAAGCACTAAGTTCGTGGTAATTTGTTACAGCAGCAATAGGAAACTAATACACTGAGCTAAAGGGTTAATATGAGGAGACAATTCAAAAACTGGGTACTGGTTATATTGCTGGTTGGCTGTCCCACTGCCCAAGAGACATTTAGTTGTGGTACTACAAAGGTTTCTACTTAGCCAGGAAAGGGCAGATTGCTGGCCTGAGATGCCAAAATGCCAATGACCAGGAAGCCCAGCAGAGGGCAGGCACCTGCGGGGAGAAAGCAATCCTTGGAAAGGCTTTGCTTCTGTCTAGCTATGCAAATTGGAAGGGTCTCTAAAAGGAAAGATCCTGCTAGGCACTTCTGGGTTGCTGTTGCATCTTAGCTGTGCCGTCATGCAGGCCAGAGGAGCATGGTGAGTATGAAAACCTTTTCATCTGCCACTCAGAGCTCAGAACCTTCTTGCTCCTTTTATTTATTTATACTGTTGGGACTGGTACATCGAAATCCTTCCCTCCCCTGCAGAAAAGGAGTTGGGTAATGAGGCACACACATTTTTGGTTAATCCCCATGGTTTGTGGAATGGGGTAGGTCAAGGGGAGAAAATATATATTCAATTAATACTTCTTGCTTTTTTCATTGAAAGTCTTTCTTGAAGAACCTTCAAGAAAGACTGCATTCAAGGGGCCATTCTAGCCTCAATTTTATATTGCAGTCCTCCAACTCTCAGACAGCCATTTCCAACTTTTTCCTGAGGGAGAGCCGAGGGTAAGATCTGGGGGTTGCAGAAGCTGAGGGTAGGGTGCTTATAACACTGGCTGGGGGTATTTGGAACCTGAGAAGAAGATTATTATTAATATTAGTAATACCTACCTCTTATCACACACACTTTATGTGAATGATCTCATTTAATCCTCAAAACATCCCTGTGAGGTGATATTATCACCAATGCACAATGAAGTTAATTGAAGCCAATTGGCCAAGGTTTTACGGCTAGCAAATGGTGGAACTGGGATTTGAACTTAGGTCTGCCAGGCCTCAGAGTCTATATTCTTCTCACTATGCCACCTGGTCTCTCCAGAAGGTAAGTTGCTGACCAGCGATTGAGTGAAAGCTATGTGGCATCATCCTACAGCTTTGAAAACCTGTGCCCAACCTCATGGGGGATGCCAGCCCTCACCATGCTTAAGAAGAATGCTGCCAGCCTACATGCAACATCATTGTGACTTGAGCCAAGACAGGCCCGCCATGGGCTTCATCTCTGAGGTCATTGCTTGCCTCTCAGATCACCCATCTACTCTAGTCTTTATAATGATGTGTCTCAGTTATCTGGCTTCTCTGCCCCATGGTCTATACACTCTTTTCCCTAATCTGCAGACTGTCATCCACTCCGTTGATCAGTGTTTCACCTGGCATTCCTGCTAACTGGCTTCTTCACCTTGGCCTCAATATGTCATCCTAGGATCTGACTCAGCAACGGAACACCTCACAAAAAGTCTGACTCAGAACAGTGAAAATGACTGAGAGGAGGGTAAAAGCTGACTCTTTTTCAGTCTTCATTCAACAAACATTTACAGCTAACTCAATCAATGTCAGGCATCGTCCAGGAACTGGGGGTCCTGTAATAGACCAGGCTCGCACCCATGCCTCACTTCCCAAAGGGACGAAGCGAGAGACGAGAGTAAAATCCCCGGGAGGAACGAACCCCTCCCGGAGGAAAGCCTGTTCCCGCGCAAGTGCGCACGCGCCGCACCCCTGGAGCGGCCGAACTCTTCCGGCGCAGCGCGAGCTCCGCCTAGTCCAATGGGGACGCGGCGCCCGGGTCGCGCGTGCGCCCTGCAGCCTCGCCCGGAAGCGAATGCCTCGGTGCTGAGCGCGGACTCGCGGAGATGAAGTAAGGCCTCAGCTTCCCCCTGAGGAAGCGGGAGCGGGCCGCCGGGGTGGCCCACCGGGCTCGGGTGGCAGAGCGTCTGCAGGGCTGAGGGGCGGGAGAAGCGCGGAGACTAGAAAACTAGTCCCGTAGTTTTGCTCCCCTTCACCTCAGGCAGGCCGCGCTTACTTGTCGGCTTTTCTGCCCCCGCTGCAGCCCTTTAACTAAAGTGAAGCTGATCAACGAGCTGAATGAGCGTGAGGTCCAGCTTGGCGTGGCAGATAAGGTGTCCTGGCATTCTGAGTACAAGGATAGCGCCTGGATCTTCCTGGGTGAGGTCCACGTCCTCCTTCCGCAGAGCTCCTCACTCTCGGCCTCCTTCCTAGTACTTGAGCATTCCCGCCCTTCATTCCTCCTGACATTCATCACCCACTTTTATTTCCTTCTGCTGTCTGCCCATAACCTGGTTTTCTATATCTCTTTTCTCCCCCATTTCTAGTTTGCTCTCCCTGCCAAATCAGTGCCCGTGGTAGTTACTGTCTGCCGTTCACTGTGCTAAGAGTCTTGCCACTTGGTTTCTCAGAAACCAGTATTATCACTCCCCGTCCCCCCATTACACAGCTGAGGAAACTGTGGTGCAGAGAAAGTAATGGATTTCCTTAAGGTCACATAGCTAGTAAGTAGAACAGCCAAAACTATGGGATTCTAGAACTGAAGGTCTTAGCTACCATCCGATATTACTGCTAACTGCCCGCACACCCCGTCCCCCGCCACTCCTTTCCCCCTAGCTCAGAATTAATTTTCCTCGTCTAATTAGCTGCTGCGTACTGTCCGTGGCTGTATTACCATCTCTATAGTCACTGTGTCACATCCAGTAATTTGACAGTTTGTTCAAGAGGTTGTTGCACCATTGTGCTAAGCCTTTTTTATATATATCTTTTGTATGTAATGTTTTCTCCTTGTTTATTTTCTCTAAGTTTTTCCATACTTTTTTTTGTTATTGTTGCTGAAATGTAACTTTTAAATTATTTTATTGAGGTCATATTGCCTAATAGCAGTGTGTAAGTTTCAGGTGTACATTACATATTTCAGTTTCTGTATAGACTGCATCGTGTTCACTACCAATAATCTAGTTTTTACCTGTCACTGTAGATATGTGCCCCTTTACCCCCTTTTGCCCTCCCCATATTGTTTTTTTAAATTCTTTTAAATTTATTTTATTGTTTTATTTAATTCTTATTACACTTCTGTGAGGTAAGTACTAATATCACCATTTTACAGATGAGGAAGGAAACATTTGCATGGAAAGTTATTTTCTGTGAAATGCTTAACAATTGTCTTTATAATCCTTGGTCTTTGTGAGGTGGGGTTAATATTTGGCTATTTAAACTGATTTTGGATCTTAGCTATGAATTCGTGAGTAAGGGGCAGATGAGTTTAAGAAATGGTTGTGGAAGCAGAGTTTTGTGCTGGAAACTGTCTTCTTTGTCTGTAAGATTTTGCGTGTGAGGAGGATTAGTTTGGTTGGTGGTGACCCCGACCTTTCCAGTCAAAGTTAACCACTGCTTTTTCTGTACTAGTTCCGCCTTATATGTGCTTCTGTCACTGCATCAGCCTGTGAGTTCTTTGAGAACGGGCCCTGTTGCTTACTCTTCTTTGCACCTTCAGTGCCTGGCCTAGTGCATGGTACGTAGCAGCACTTGGTAAATGTTTGTTGAACTGAAATGTGGTTTTCTCTTCTAGGAGGGCTTCCTTATGAACTGACTGAAGGGGACATCATCTGTGTGTTCTCACAGTAAGTCCCCTTTCATTTCCTGCATTTCGGGTCATCAAAGTAGTTTGCTTCCATAATGCATTTTGTGGCATCACGAAAGCCATTTATTTTAATTCTAGGCTGACCGGCCTCCCTGCATGGGGAGGGCTGTAGCCTCTGCTCTAGTCTGAATCAGTCATAGGACATGGTTTCTAGAACTCTCCCAATGTGGAAAATCCAAGAAGTTGGATGATTTAGGAGGCTGTCGTGGGGATTCTGGTCTATTTTCATTCCTTTCTTACTGGGGCTTGTTCAGCCTGGGTCTACACTGGAACACACTGGAACTCTCAGGAAGATACTATGTTGGCCCATCTCCTCGTGTTTCTACAAACTAGGAGTAACCCATGATAGGATCACAGGGCCCTTCTGGGCCCACACCTGTGTGGCATTGTAGGATTAGGGCAAAGCACAGAAGAATTGGGGAAAAAAGCAAAAGGTTTACGCTGTAGTTTGGTTTCTTTGTTTCTAGATGAGTGTAAAGTTAGTGAGGAGAGCCATTCTCTTCACCTAGAGGCTGAGAATCACGGGCTGATGAGGAACAAGAATGAATAGGAGAACCTTATAGTCTTCATTTTGCTATGAGATGATAGCAGTGGCACTGGGCAGGAGAGGGCCTTGGCAGCTCACACTGGTAGTGGCAGCTGGTAGGAGAGGGCCTAGGCACAACCCCAGAGCTACACAGAGTGGCTAGACAGTCCATAGAGCCAGAGGGCCTTGGCAGCTCATAGGAGCAGAGGACCATGGCCCCTGGGTTGTGTAGCTCTCAGGGGCAGAGGACGGTTGCTGAGAAGTCGGACAGCATGTACAGTCAGGGGACCATGGCAGAAGGGGTTGGGCAAGCAAACACAGCCAGTAGCCCCGACAGAGGCATTGCCGTGGCAGGGGATGGTTGGGCCATCCCATAAGCAGAGGGCCCTCGCTGAACGGTTATGCAGCTTAGGGGGAAGCAGGTTCTGGCTGAGTGATTGGGCAGCATATAGGACAGAAGGCCAAGGGAAAGAAACTGGGCAGTACACGTGAGAAGAAGGCCATGGTCGAGGGCTTGGGCAGTGCACACAGGCAGAGGGCCCTGCAGGGACTGAGGCTGCTTCCTCCAACTTCTGGGCATCGGGAAGTTCACAGCAGGTGCAGCCTATAATTTCCATCCCTTCGTGGTACCTCTCCTTGGCCCAGCCTTCCAAGAGCTGTTTCTGTCTTATTTGCATTGAGTGATGATCAGGTAGTGTGTGTATTTATTCTAATTCTCTATTCTGGCTACACACATTGCTGTCCATGAAGATTGCCTTTGCCACTGATAACAGTGGCTTTCAAAAAATACTTTGTTTTCTGATTATCAAGGTAATGTATAGTCATAGCAGGAGAGGAAAAAGTATAAAGAAGAAAATAGAATGTACTTTAAGGAAAAACTGTTAACATTTTGGTGCATTTCTTTATTGTCTTTTTAAAAAATGTTGGGTATTATTTCCAATATTTTGCTGTTATAAATTATACTGCAATGTACATCTTAGTATATACAGTTTTGTATGCATCCTTGTTGGTTTCCTCAGTGAGATTACTGGATCAATATGTTAGCATTTTTAAGATATTTTATAAACATGCCAAATTGCGCTCTGAAAAGGTTGTATCAATTTCCACTCTCACTAGAATGCCCATTTTTCTGAATCCTAAGAGCAATGGTTATAAAAAAATATTTACTGTATGGCTTCTCATTGTTATTTTACTTTGCCTTTATTTCATCATCAGTGAGGTTGAACATCTTTTCATAGATTTACAGGCCATTATTAGTATTTTTCTTTGTAAATCATCTATTCATATCCTTTGCCTGTTTTTTCTTTTGGAGTATTCCTCATTTTCTTATTGATTTTATAAGAGCCTTTCATGTATTAAGGATATGAACTCTTTGTTATAACACTTTGTCATGTATTGTATTACTATGGACTTATTTTTTTTAATTTGATGTTTCCTACTACATTACCATCATTATTTCTTGATGCTCAAATTGTCCCAATTTGGTCTGTAGGAGTCCCTTCAAGCAAGCTCCTATATTCTTTTTTTCTTTTACTTTTTAGTTTGAAATAATTTCAGGCTTAAAACAGGAAAGTTATAAAATAGTATAAAGAATACTTGTATCCCCTTCACCCAGAGTGCCCCATATGTTAGCATTTTACCACATTTGCTTTATTATTTTTCTCCACTTAAATATATTTTTTCTGAATCATTTGAGAGTCAGTTGCAGACCTGATGCCCATTCATCCCTTAATTCTTCAGTGTGTATTTTCCAAAACACAAGGACATACTTTTGTTTAACCTCAGTATAGTGATCAAATTCAGGAAATCAACACTGATAAAATAGTATTATTTTCTAACATATAGAATTTATTCAACTTCACTGGTTTTCCTGATAATGTCATTTGTCTTTTCACTTTGCTTTTTGCTATGCAAAACTATTTTTTCATTCATTCATATGTTTAAATTATCTTATGGTAAAATTGACTTTTTGGTAAAATTGACTTTTTAGGGAGTGTACAGTCCTATGAGTTTTAATATAGGTATAGATTTATGTAATCACCTCCACAGTTAGGATGAAGAGCACTTCCATCACCCCAAACACTCCCTCATGCTGTCCCTTTATAGTGTACCCCTCTAGTATTTTATTTGGTGAAATTTATCAGTCTTTTATTGTTTCTGGATTTTGAGTCATAATTAGAAAGTATTTCTCCCCACCCACCCATCTGTGTTCTCTTCTGGTAGTTGTATGATTTCAGTTTTATACATTGAAATCTCTGATCCATTTAGAGTTATTCTGATGTGTAGTGTGACATATGGATCCAATTTCATGTTTTTTCAAATGGCTGTCCAGTTGTTCCAACAACATTTATAAAAAAGTCCATATTTTTCCCAGAAAATTGGAATGTCACCCTTATCACTTACTAATATTTCCATATGTCCTTGGTCTCTTTCTTGGCTTTATTCTGTTCTGTTGGTGTGTCTCTTCGTGTGCCAGTCCCACACCAGTTAGTCAGAGAAGCTCTTCAGGGTGTTTCATGTCTGGGAGAGCTACTCCCCGTCATTGTTCTTTTTGAAGGTTTTCCCAGCTATCCTTGCATGTTCATTTTTCTGCAACAACTTTACAATCAACTTATCTAGCTCCAGGAAAGGAAAACACAACTTATATTTTTAATTGGGATTATATTAAATTTAAGTATTAACTTAAACTTGGGGGAAGGTTGTGCCATCTTTATGATGTTGAGTCATCCTGTCCAAGAACAAGCGATGTCTTTGTGTTTGTTCAAGTCTATGTTTGTGTCTTAAAGGAGTTTTAAGAAGTTTCCTTTATATAGGCTTTGTACATTGCTTGTTGTTAAGTTTATTTCTGAGTATTTTATCTTTTTCATTACTGTTATAAATGGAGTTTCTCTTTCATTATATCTTCTAACTGATTAGTGTTTGAATGTAAGAGGGTGATTTATTTTTATCAACTGTATATCCTGTCAACTTACTGAATACTGTTGGTTTTTATCACTGTTTATCATTGATTCTCTTGGGTTTTCTATACATACTATCATATAGAATCTTCAGACAGAGATAGTTTTACTTCCTCTTTTTTCATTTTTTATATGCATTTTCTCCTAATCGCATTGGCCAATACCTACAAAATTAAACAGTGTTAAATAGTTCCTGACCTTAGTTGAATCATCTCTAGTATTTTCTGTTAAGTAAGATTCTAGATTTCAGGCCAAGGTATACGTATGTGATCATTTTATAATGTATCTATCAATTCCTATTTTATTTTTATGACTTCATTTTTTAATTTATGAAGCTTTAATTTATCTGAAATTTATTTTTGTACAAGGAGTAAGGTAGAATTTTTTTCTATTTCCTATTTAATTAATTTCTGCTTTTATCTTTATTAACTCCCATCTTCTTTCTTTAGATTTGCTTGCTTTTACATTCATTTGTTCTTTTTTAACAATAAAATTCTTTAAGGTTACAGATTTTCCTGAATATGGTTTTAGTTAACCCGTTAAGTTTTGGTATATATTCTTCTCATTTTCATTATTTCCCTAAAGAGTCTACCACTGATTTTTTTTCTTTATTTTGTTTTACTTTCTCCTTCATCCAGTTGTTAGCTGGGAGAGTAGGTTTCAAGTTCTAGGTTGTAGCATATTTTTTGTTCCAAATATTATTTCCAGCTTTATAACATTGTGATTGGAGAACATGATCTGTTCTGTTTTTGGAGGTTGTTGAAGTTTACTATGAGACCTTATTCTATAGTCAATTTTAATATGTGTTTCGTGAATTCATGAGAAGAAACTGTCGTCTTTTTGTAAGATTCAAATTTATCTGTATATCTACTAGGCTGACATTAATATTTGTTAACAATATAATTGTTATATTATTAATTATATATTTATTTGTATTTATATTAAATAATTATATGTTAATTATAGTAATTCCTCTGACCTTGTTTTTATCAACTTTATGTGTTATAAACTTAAGGTTGTGTGTTAAAATCGTTCATAACTTTAACTATTAGTTTCTCTTTGTATTTCTAATAGTTTTTTTAATTAACATTTTTGATTTGTTAATTTATGCATAAAGTTTCATGACTTATACCTTTGTTATGTATTAGGATCTTTTTCATTGTAAAAAAGCTCTCCTAGTCCCATTTAATGGTTTTTTTTTTTGCTTTGAATTCATCTTTGGTCTTAATATTACCACCCATTTTTTAATTGGGTGTTTCTGCTATATCCTTGTCTAAATTTTTATTTTTAACCTTTATATGTCATCTTGTTTTAGATGTGTCTCCTGTTCAAACTGTATTATTTGAATTTTGTTTTGTCGTCCGATCTGAAAGTTTTTGCATTTTAAATCAATAGTGTCTTACTCTTTTATAAAATAAATAGATATGGAGAGATTGTTAACATTAATCTGGTACGGGACAAGAAGACTGGCAAATCCAAAGGATTCTGTTTCCTCTGCTATGAGGACCAGAGGAGCACAATTCTGGCCGTTGACAATTTTAATGGGATCAAGGTGAGTGTGCTTACTAAGCTGGGATTTGGCCTGACTTCTCCTGTGTGTAGGGGTTTGGTTTCGTTTCCCACTTGATCGCCACAGGCTCGAGGACAGTACTGGTCAGTGGGGTATGTTGTGAGGGTTGCAGAGGTTTGGGGACACACTAACCAGGAAATGATCCCAGGAAATAATTCTGTTGGCTCATGACCCTGCCAGCACTTGTTCCTTTTCCCCATCTGTTAGCAAACCATCTTCCCAGAAGCATGGATATCGTGCCCCACGTCCCCAGCCAGGCGTCTATTTCTCCACTTTTGCTCCTCACAATCTAGTCTCATCTCTGATGTATTGGAGAATGAAGAGACTAGCAAACACTGCTCTCCCATGCTGTTCTCTGTTGGGGGGTTTTGGGACTCCATCATGGCTTCATGACCTAGGACATAGCTGTGTATGTCTGTCATATGTCTCCACTGACTTAGCAGTACTGGGCCCTGGAAATTCTCTAGTTAAAATCTGATGACAAATTCTGCATAAGTAACTCATTCTGAAGTTTTCTCTCCTCTGTGCCCTCTCGCTCCCACCCTGGGAAGGGAGACATTGGGCTGAGAGAAGGAGATGGAGCAAGTGAGGCTTCTCTGTGCTCCGCATGGTCCCTGTGCTCATTTAGGAAAAGCACTGCAGTTGAGCGAGCGTTGTCACAGGTTGGGAGCTGACTCTTGACTTGGAGAGTGTGTCACTGATTGCACCAGTATGGAACAGCTGGAGGCTATAGGACAGGGTGAAACAAGGTTCTAGGCTTGATTTTTAAGAGGGCCCGCAGTCAAAGGGAGTCACCATAGAAGGAGGGTTTTCAAAATGTGTTGAAATGGGGAATAGGATAGATGACAGAAGCTCCTCAGGCTTAAAGGTAAGAATAAAAATCTGCTCTTGTATTGGAACAACAAAAGCCAGACTTTTAAAATTTCAGATGACTTTGCCTATAGAATAAATCTGTATTTGCCTGAAAGTTTTTGTTTTAAGTGAGGGGTTAATTTGTTGTGTTGTTCACCCGGAGAGTTGTGATTCACAGCGTAAGTATCAGTGTGAGCCAGTTGTTCCAGTATGGTGGGGGTAGAGCAAAGTGTGAAGGCCAAAGAAAAGAGTGGTCTTTCCTAGATTCCTTCCCGCCTCCCAACCGTTGGTCTGCCTTGGCCTCATCCTAATTGCTGTATCGAGAAAGCAGCTGTAGCATTGAGCTCGATTTCAGGAATTCCTTCTAGCTGCCAGGCTTTTTCTTGGTATGTTTCACTGTAAATTAGTGTTACAGATTGAGGGTAATTCATTGTTTGTGCGTCTGAATTCTCTCAGTTTTCCATGCTGCTTGTGCTTTCGGCCAGTACTTCTCAGCCTTTTTTCACTTCTTGGCACACGTAGAACATGAAAATATTTGTGTGGCACGCTGGGGTAAACTGATGAGACTGCTAGGACAACTGCCTCAAGGGCTCCAGCTGCCCCAGGCCCCACTTGGCTGCACTGAGGGCTGAGCGAATTAATATCTAGATATATGTGTTGGGTAGGTCTGCTTTAGAGATTTCCCCAGGAATAGAATTAGCAGGAAGGTAGTGGATGTTCAAATCGTGGCTTTCTGCAGCTGGGTTCAAATAGTTTGTTAGGAGGGCTGTCTGTGCTGAAGCATTGCTGTCTGTCTTAGATCAAAGGAAGAACTATCCGAGTGGATCATGTGTCTAACTATCGCGCTCCTAAGGACTCAGAGGAAATGGATGACGTGAGCAAAGGGCTCCAGGAGAAGGGCTGTGGGGCTCGCACCCCCTCACCGAGTTCATCTGAGGGCTCTGAAGATGACAAACCCACAAAAAAACACAAAAAAGGTAAAGCATTGAGACCCAAGGGAAGATTCTGGGTGGTCTTAGTGTTTTCTCTTCCTAGCATTCACTGAGAGTTGATAATCAGTTCTTAAGTGTGAAGGGGGAAGGTGTGGGGAACCTTACTTTAATTGGGAAAGGAGATGTATCAGCGGAAGGCTAATATTCTCATCTGAATTCTGTCCCCCTAATATTTATGTTGAAGTCCTAACCCCTAGTACATCAGAATGTGACTGTATTCGGAGGTAGGGTCTTTAAAGTGGTAATTAAGGGTGGGAATTGCCTTATACAGCAACTTGACATATCAAGGGTGACAGACATCCAGCTTGGCTTCTTGGAGGCACTTTTCTGGAAGTATAGGCTGTGACTGCTTCATGCTGCTGCGAGGGATGCTTTTCTTTTACATCTCCTCCATCTTCCTTTTCTCATTGATTGAGCCCCTTTTTTCCTCCAGACAAAAAGGAAAAGAAGAAAAGAAAGAAAGACAAAGAGAAGACTGACCGAGAGGTACAGGAAGAGCAGCCAGCCTCCTCTTCATCGCCCAGAAGCAAGACAATAAAGGAAAAGGATGACCCTGGCTCGAAAAAGCATAGCAGCAAGAACTCAGAGAGGGGTCAGAAGTCAGAGTCCAGGGAGGTTCGGAAGCACCACCCCAGCTCCCCTGAGGTCAGGACGACTTGCCGCAGTGGAGCAGAGGAGCGAGAGAGGGAGCTGAAGAAGGAGAAGCCCAGGCACGAACACAAGTCCTCAAGCAGGAGGGAAGAAAGAGAAGAAAGGAACAGGGATAGAGACAGAGGCCGAAACCCAGATACACATTCTAGCTGGCACAGTGAGCGCTCTGAGGGGCACAGCCACAGAAGTCGAAGTAGGAGCCGAGATAAATCTCATAGGCATAAAAGGGCCCGGCACTCCTGGGACCAGGAGTCCTCTAATCCCAGTGACCGCAGGCATCACTGAAGCCGCAGCCCGTTCAGCTGCTCGGTAGAATTGGAAATGAGCTATGTTTCTAAAATGCAATCAAATTCAATTATGCTTTGACTGTTGCTATATGTAAAATCTCTGAGGCTGCATTGTTGTAATCTCTTGAGTGTAGAGTGAGTGACAGAGCTATAGTTTCAACAGTCAAGTGTCCTGGAGTTTTGAGCGAAAGCTGTTGTCCCTGGGAATACCCTTGGTACTTAATCAGAGTATGTATCCTAAATTTGGGTTCAAGCATATGGCCCTTGAATTTGTGACCCCACTTTATGGTGAAATGTCCAGGAAAGAGGAAATATCAGGCAATTCTAGAATTCTAGTCTTTGTGCTAGATGTTTAGAACCCTTGCAGTGACCTTTCCTGTTGGCAGATGGGACCATAGAGAAGCATGGCTTGACTAGGTTCGGACAGCTCGATGTGAATGTGATAGTGATTCTTAACATCAGCCTGCTCACTGCCCCCCCTTTTTTTGAAATTTTAAACGTCTTCTTTTTTGCTTTTTGTTTTTTTTTGGTTGATATGTCTCCACGGTTTTTTCTTGCAATTTATTTATTTATTTATTTTTATTGAGATGAAATTAACATAAAAACCATTTCAAAGAGAACAATTTAGTGGCATTTGGTACATTCGCAGTGTAAACCACCGTTAAAACCACCACTGCTATCTAGTTACAAAATGTTTTCGTCACTCTAAAATGAAACCACGTACCCATCTAGCAGTTATTCCTCATTCCCTCCTCCTCCTCGTCCCTGCCAACCACCAATCTGCTTCTCATTTCTATGGATTTACTTATCCTGGACATTTCATGTAAGTGAAATCATACAATAAGTGGTCTTTTGTGTCTGGCTTCCTTCACATAGCATAATGTTTTCAAGGTTCATCCGTGTTGTATCAAGCCTCGGTACTTCATTCCATTTTATGGCTGAATAGGATTCCATTGTATGGATATACCACATTTTGTTTATCCCTTCATCAGTGGATGGACAGTTGGGTTTCCACCTTTTGGCTAGCCAGCTCCCTTTCCATGTTCCAGACATGCCAGGCTACTTCTGGGCTTAGTCTGATTTTCAAGTAGCTGTTCTTGTTGAGAAGGGAACACTTTTTCAGCTCCATTGCATATCTATCTGGTCTGCTTGGCAGTTCTTTCTCATTTTGAGATTCTTGTCATTCTCTTGTATCAACCATTCCCTTATGAGTTTGATAGGAACTGGTACCTACACAAGACCTTAATACCCTTGCTGAATTTTTAAAGTTGAATTTCTGACCCTGTAAAACAGAGGAGTAAAGCTTTAATAGCACACTAAGTTAGATTACCTGGTGTGTTAGTTTGTATCCTAGATTAGATGTGTAAGAAATTTTTTGCGGGGGGAAATGACCATGAAGGAAAATGAAGAGGGAGCTGGAGGCGTCTGGGAGAGCTGTCAGACTATGATGCAGGTCTAGCCTCCGGAGAAGAGAGAAGGGAAGAAGTGAAGTGGGTAGGAAAAGTCTTAGACTGATGTGGAGTTCTAAGAACATTTCAGCAAGACCAGTAGTGAGTCCTTGAGCCAAAGTTGCCATCAGACTCTCACTAGATCAGCCTTGGTAAGCAGGAGTCCTTGCTGTGGGCCTCCATCAGCCATGGTGGCCACTCTACTTATGTGTCCATCGTGCCAGTTGTGTGGTAGCCATTGACGAAGGCCCATGCACCTGTCTGAGTCATTTTGTCTGCTTGGTTTAGTGCTTCTTCTGTGGTGGATGTTCTCTGATGAGTGTTAACGTGTGACGCAGAAATCTTCATACTTTGCCTGCTCCCAAATGTCAATCCACAGCCTTTACACTAGAGCCCCTTGTCTCTGATTTTCCAGCACTTTTCCTTCCAGGCTCCCAACTAGATGGTCAGACCATTGGACACTGCCCAGGAGTCTATACATATTCAATAAATATTCTCGCTTCAGGCCACTCCTTCCACACCAAGTCAGTTGTACTGCTTACAGTTGCATCCATTGGAAAAATTTTCCTTTTCCACCCCTGAACATGGCTGTAATGCAGATACCATCCATCTATCTTCATTTTGCACCCACGTACTGAGCTGACCTGTCTGTAAACCAAGCTCAAGCTGTTTTCTCTTCCTCCAGCTGGTTATACGGGAACCCCCATGTGGCCGTAGGTGCAAATACATGGTAAGGGCTACCACTCTGCATCTTTTAGGTTTTTAATAATGGTACTGATCTACTCTGTCTCCCCTGGGATGTAATACTGTGTTTGATTTATGTATCAATCAGGGTTTTACCAGAGAAACAATTAGTAGGATATATATATCCTACTGTAAGCCAATTCCTTGCGATAAAGCGTGTATATGTGTGTGTGTATATATATATACACACACGTATATATATGGCAAGAAATTGACTTACGTAGTTGTGGTTGCTAGGTAGGCAAGTCTGAAATTTATAGGGCAGGTTGGAAACTCTTGAGCAGGAACTGACACTGCAGTCCACAGGCAGAATTTCTTCTTCAGGGAAATCTCAATTTTGCTTTTAAGGCCTTCAACTGATTGGATGAGGCCCACCCAGATTATCTGGGACAATCTCCTTTACTTAAAATCAACTAATTGTAGATGTTAACCACATCTGCAAAATACCTTCACAGCAACACCTAGATTAGTTGATTGACTAATTGGGTACTATAGCCTAAGCCAAATTGACACAGAAAAGTAAGCGTCACAGTTTACTCCCTTGTCCATGGTGGTGGCGGTGGGGGTGGGGTGGGGGCAGTTTCAGAGGTTTCTACTTGGCTTTCCTCGCTGTGACAGCTCCTACCCTGCAGGCCAAGGACCCACGTGGGGTTACTCCCAGCTACCAACTCAGTTCCAGTTACACAGTTAAGGACTGGGAAATGACCACTGTGTAGGTCTGCAGGCCCACTGTGAGTACTGTTTTAGCCAGGACTTCAGTTATCACTCAGCCCTTGAAGTCCCCAGTATAACAGAAGCCGTGATGCTGCTGCAGGTCCCTAAGTGTCAACATCAACTTAGATCTTGAGTCTAGCATTCCTCGAACGTCTAGCTGTTCTTTCCCCCGTGTACATACCCCCACGTAAGTGGCTGTGGTCACTTTGGGGGAAGTACTGGGGGAATAGCACATACTCACCATTGTCCTTCCTCCTAGGGACCCAGCTCCCTCTGCCAGATGTGAAAGTGGGCCAAAGTCTGGAAACTGAGCCAGGAATTAGGGCTTTTTACGGGGAAACCTCCCTCAGTCCCCTGCTCCTCTGCTTTAGTCTTTTTCAGCTCTCAAATCTTGAGCAGCACCTTTGTTGGCTGTCGGTTTGTCATGCTCCTCCACAACTCCCTGTGGGTCAAGCGCCCCCAGCTGCCCTTCAGACCTTGTATGGTCTCTTACTGCCATCTCTGGCCTGCAGCACCTCTGAACTTAGTGATGCTGGTGCCCCTTTTCACCAGTGCCTTCCTGATGGCCTTGGTGAATAGGGTGTCCTCTGGGCTCCTCTGTGGAACACTACCCTCTGGTGGGGTTTTTCACCTCATATAATATCTCCACTCCAGCATGCCCACTTCTCGCTGCCTTTTAATTCCTTCCTCTGCCATTCGTCCTGGCAGCTCAGACATTGCTACTTTTCTCAGTGGTGACCATCATTTCCTCTGGGCCTCTAAGTGACACCTTAGTAGAGACTTACCCCCTGTGGTCCTTGCCAGGGGCGTCAAATCCTGTCTCCTGAGAAAGTGCTCCCAAGCCTGTGAACTCTTGCTTTTCTGGCCCTCTTGATAGAGCACCCTTGAAATCCAAACCCAGTGCTTCCTTGGCTCCTGTTAGTACCCCCCCCCAGCTAATTTTTGCAGCTCTTTGGTGTATACTCTCTTCTTCATTAGACCCAGCACTTCCCCAGACAGGTTATGCTGGGATCTAATCCTAGTTATCAGCTTAGTAACTGGGAAAGGGGCTGGACACAGCTCCTCAGAGAGGGGCACCAGTTGCCTTGTTGGGGAAGCAGCCTCTGCAGCGTCTTCCAGCACAGGGGAAGTGCTAGCTCATTACTAGGGAATGGTGGCCCCCTCTGCACTCTGAGGGCTGGGTGGGGATATCTACAGAGCCAACACCCTCTGGGGTGTCTGGCCAGATGTTCCCATCCCCTGTTTCAGGGTCCCAGGATTTTTCAACCACATGAAGTCATGTGGCCCTGACTTAAGCAAAGCAGACCTACCGCATATTAAACATTGAGTATTTATCTCCCTGGAGTTCTCCAGCTCTATTATGTTCTCTCTTTGTTACTCAGCTGTGTTCGCTCCTGCACTGTAGGAAATAAGAGCCTTTTTGTAAGCTCCACGGAAGCCCTTGGGCTCTCATGCATAATCTTTAGCTACTTAATAACTGTCATCATTTCTCATTACCCTGCTGCAGGGCATCGGTACAATTTAACTGTATGCAGCTGTCTCCACTGTCTCTGTAGGCCTTATTCTCCCATATTTTTCAAAAGCCTGAATTGCTGCATCTCCAAGGCCACTCTCCCAGTTTTCCCAGGTCATCTCCAGAGAAATCTTTAGCAGCTGGACTGCCACCCTATGCCTTGGACTATCCGTGCCCCACACCCGCCTCAGGACGGTGTCTATTTTGTCCACCAGGCACTGACGAAAGCAGTCTCAGAACTCCATCTTACCACAGGCTGTTTTCTTGGACCAGCACTGGCACCATTTGTGCTAGTTTGAGTTCTCTGAGAAGCAGATGCCAGGATGGGGTTATACATGTGAGAGATTTATTAGGGAAAATGCCTGTGGGGAAAATGAGGAGGGAGCCAGAGGAGTCAGGGAGAGCTGTGGGACTAGATGCAGGTCTGAGCCCTGTGCAGGAGAGAGGGAAGGAAGGAAGGGTGGGTAGGAAAAGTCAGACTATGTGGTGCAGTTCTAAGAACATTTCGGCAAAGCAACTCTGTCTGGAGAGGCAGTCCACCATGGGCCCTGAGCATCCCTGCAGGTTCTTGGTGAGGGTCCTTAAAGGAAGGCTTATCTGTACCCTGTTACTCAGCCATTTCTGAAGGGCAAGGTAACCAGTGTGACTACCGTTTAACTTCTTGCTTCCCCGGGGAGGGGCAGTGGTTTGTTTGCTCATGGCTCAAAAAGTCCCAGGTCCTTGACCCTGGGTTCCTCAGCTGCAGTTCTTCCCACTGCATGAGTGGCATCCACCTGAGCCCATTGCATTGCCCTGTGGCACTTGGGGGTAGGGGAACTGGCAAATCTATGCTGATACTCATGGTGTTTGCTGTGTTGTAATAAACTGTCTTGTTCTAATGCATTAAGTTGCACTGTCTACTTTCTACACTTGTGAAGTAGTGTCACGTCTACTCCTTGCTGTCCTTTGTGAGGTTGGATAGCATCCCTGACCAAAGTCGCATGTTGGGGCGTCCTGTGTCTCGCAGGAATGGCCTGTCTTAGTATCTCTGCCATACCCAGTCATTGGCTGAGAGCAGCCCGTGGGAAGTTTGGCCTTGGTGAAAATGCAGTAATGATGGATTTCAGGGCTCAGCAGCTGTGGCCGGAGGTCACTTATGCTCCCTGCAGTCAGAGGTCTGAGAGGCACATAGACATCCTGCACCAGGCCCAGCCCGAAATGACCAGCTAGTCGTTGGTTTTAGTTGGTCTTTGGGAATAGTGAATAAGACAGTTGGAATTCATTGGTGGACAAAATTCCCAGTGACCTGAAAGCTAAACAGCCATGTTGAATGAAGTACTCATTAAGAATGCTTTTTAGTTGTTGGCTTCTCAATATTTCTTTCATGTGGCCTAATTAACACCCTAGTCTTTCTGTCTGTCTCATTTTTGCTTCCTCTAACCTATCATGTCACGTACCTACTAAGGATCTGTCTTGGCAGTTTATGGACTCATTGAATCTTAAATTGGAAATAATCCTTATCTGGTACAGGTCAGCCCTTCTGTAAACATGTTTTGAAGCTCTTTGAAAGGAATAACCTAGTCATTGTCTAAATGGTATTCTAATGAAGTGTAAAGTGCTCTGTACTGTGCTGTTAGGAGCAAAGAATAAAGTCAAATGTTTCCTGGTGTCTTTTATTTTATCTAAAAATGTAAACTTAGAAGACGTAATTTGGGGTGTGATTATTTGCACTAGAAGGATTTAACCTAGCGTTCTTCCTTCTCTAAATAAGTGGCCCGATTTCTGCAATTGTTACTGGAAACTGCGTCATAAAATAGATGATAAGAGCAAGTCATATTTTCCAGTAGGAAATAATCAACAATTACATTCATGATAAGCATTTGGTATTCTATAGATTAAGTATGACCACTAGTATACCAGAAGACACATTTGTCCCTAGATGAATCATTAAAAATACTGAAATTATGTGCCAGGTCCTATAAAAGGACAAAACCATATGATACATGTTAATTAAGTTACTCTAAAGTGTATGCTTGTCACACAGATATATAACTATTGTATATTTAATCCAAGGCCAATAGACTTTTTATAATGCACATCAGTCAAAAATTTGGTTACCGTTTGCCAGCTTAGAATTTAGAAGGGTACTTTGGGGATGAGTGAAGATGACCCAGCCTCTTGAAAGAATGGTTCAAAAACGTCTGAATAAATGCTTTCTTTTTTTTCATGCTTCATAAGAAGCTGAGGCATTTGATATCATTCCGTTCACTTTAGGTTAGGGTTAGAATTGGCTTAAGAAGTGATGTTGATGATGATTAAGATGATGTTTCTTCAAGAGAAAGGCAGCAGCAGCTAACAGTAAAAAAATGATTATTAATTTAAATCTCTAAGTTCTTTGGATTTTTTATTAGTTTACCATATGATTGTAAGTCATAAAGTAGACCGTCTGATTGTTATCAGAGTGCACATCTTATTTTGTGTGCCAACTTTACTTACATGTGCATTTGTATCCGTGTCATTTTCAGTGGCCGTATAGCATTCTTTCCTGATATACACTGCACCAGTCCCCCACTTGGATTGTTTTAATTGTTCAGCATAATTAATAGTATTGCTATGAACATTTTTATACAGAGTCTTAAAAATCTTCTCCTTTTGTATTATTCCCTTGGACCACATTCGCCAAAGTGGAGTTACCAGGACCAAATGTACAGATAGAACCATAGCTTGTCTTACTTATTGTCAGGCTGCTTTTCAGAAAGATCAAATTTGTGGAACCATCAGCACTATAGAGTTCAAGTGTAGTTCTTTCCCTACATTCTGCACAACACTGGATTTTATAATTTTATTCCCTTTTTCTTCTCTGAAAGGTATATTGTCATACCTTCAGGTTATTCTAATTTGTATTTTCTCTCATTGCAAGTGAGGCCATGCATTTTTACTTTTAGTGTTTTCGTCTATTACATTTAGTCCATTTCCAAGGACTGTAGATACTAGCTCATATATTCTTGTATTTTGGCCAGCAGGCTTTGAACAGCTATGGTAGGCACATTACTCTGATTCTGGTGCTCACCTTTTGACATTTAGCTCATTAGACAAAAAACAGTTTTAAAAATGAGGACTGACTTTATTTGAAGCTACAAATGCAACTACAGAAAAAGACTAAAGCCGTGGCATCAGGAAATAGCTGTCAAATAGCATGCTCACATTCGCTCGCTCTCCTTCCATTCTCACCTCCCCCCCTCTTTTCCTCTCTCTCTGTTTTCTGTCTTTTTGAGGGAGAATATTCAATTAGACTTCTTTCTCAAGTCAGGCGTTAATACACTTGTTATCCATAGACTATCTTGGGAGGTATACTCGATCCAGTGGTAACAGATTGCTTCTGGAGAGGAGAACCAGGTAGCAGCTGGGAGAGGAGGGGGGTGAGGGGAAGAGGCTTACTTTTCACTGTACCTTTTGTAACTTTTGAATTTCGAACTGGATTTGTATAGCTTATTAAAACAAAGCCATATGTAAGATCAGTGTTTGTCATTAGTGTGGACCTTTAAAAAATAACTTTAAAACTTATACTGCTGCATATGATGAACTTCAGTATGTAAGGGCAGGAGTGAGCGAGTAGATCAAGGCACCCAAATTTGGGTATATGTGCTATTTGGGCAGAACTGCCTGCCATTCTATTTGCTAAAGTTCAGTAACATAACATTTACAGACTATAGGTACAGCATAAAGGAAATTTACTTGCCTTGAAATATTTCCCCGGGGAGTTTTAGATAAGGCTGGGACCTTCCTCTGTCCTAAATTCTTGGATAAAGCTGAGGTATGAGAATGACTAGCTGAGTGATCATCTTCCTGTTAACTGAGTGGAGAGAGGGAGGCCGGAGTGGCAGTTTCAGTACCAGAGTGGTGTTTCTGTTCCATGGGAGCAGTTTCCAGCCAAGCACTGTCTGAGGCCAGCTGGCAGGGGTAGGTTCTGATTTGCTCCTTGTTATTCCTTAACTTTGGTGTTCTAGATGGGGCCTATCCTCTCTCCAGCAATTGGGTTTTGGCAAGCACAGGGTTCCAGGTGTGACTGGAAAGCATGTTACCTGCTGGCCACATTGGTGGTTCATGTGTCTTGAAGGGGCCAAGAGGATGCCTGGAGGCTTCAGAGCCCCTCTGAGGAGTCGGATCTCGGCACTGCCCTAGGTGTTTGGGGATAGACTTTGGAAATGAACTTTCAGGGGACCCCTCAACCTCATCTGAATTGACTAGTGTCCTGGTGGCCATGTATTAACCAGACTTGCACCATCCAATAAGGGAGCCACTAGCCACATGTGGCTATTTAAATTGAAATAAATCAAAATGAAAAATTCAGTTCCTCAATCGTATGAGTGCCTCAAGAACCATGTGGGGATAGTGGCTACTGTCCTGGACTGAGCATATATACACCACTTCTATCCTTGTAGAATATTCTGTCGGACAGCACTGAACTAGACCATTCAGGCACAGCAGCAGCGTACGTAGCTGTGTGGCCCGAGGTGAGAGCCTCCCTGGCGCTTTCTGTGCCTGCCTAACCCTCCTGTCCTCTGAGGACGCCTCAATCCCACAGCCTCCAGGAAACACAGTCTGACCGCTCCAGCTCACAGCGATGACTCCCTTCTCTGAACCCCGGGAGCGCCCGGGAGCTGTGATGACACACTGTCTTACTGCTTCTAAGTCTTATCTCCCAGCAAGCCTGCAGGGCCCTCAAGAGCAGAGCTTAAATCCCACGCTGCCTGCTAGATGCTTCTATATGAGGCACAGCCCCTCTTCTCATGCCAAAATGCCTATAAAAAGCATTTATCAAATCCTCCTTCTCTCCAGCTGCCTTTTTGTACCTTCTTTGCTCCTATTTTCAGTTATTTATAAGAATCAGTGTGTAGGACACAGCATCATCCTTCAAAGACCATTTATTTTTTGAGGAAGGTCAGCATGCTCACTGATGTCAGGTGCGGTAGCCTCAGCTTCTGTCCTGCTGAGGGGTGAGGGTGAGGGAGTTTGGGGAGCACTGGCATTACATATGGAAAACACCTTGGGTAAAGCTGATGACACCTTCCTCATCATCTCAGAGCCCTGTTTGGAAGTACTGGGCTTATCAGCGTCTGTGAATGAATGAAAAGAGCAATATGGTCACTTATTGGGCTTTCCAGTTGAGGCTGTCAGACTTGGGGATTGATAATGTAAGATTCAGAAAGAAGCATTTATATAATAATTTTTGGTTTTTAAAGTGCTTTCACAAAGAGTCTTTATTTGCTCCTTCTGATACTCCTGGGAAGGAAGCAGGAGAAATTCAGTGAGGTCAGTCACCTTGTCTAAAGTCACGTGGGTAGACAGTGGTTAAGCTGGCACTAGGGCCCAGGCTTTCTGACGCGCAGGCCAGCTCTGCACTCCTTGCACCCTGATGCTCTTGAGCCAGCTCAGCAGCGGCTGCCTCCCTCATGCTAGCAGATGACTGTCCACAAAAGCCTGATGAGTTAATTCTACATAAAAAGGTAACTTTCACCTCTCACCAGTGTGGGTGTCCATTTTAGAATGTCCAGGTAAAAGCAGCAGTGCATTAAAAAAGGCTATCATTTCTCACTCACTTTGGATGAATTTTCAGTTGACTGACCCCAAGTGATCTGTTTGTTGTGTGAGCTATAAAGAACTTCTGTTGCCAATAAGAGTGGCCATTTGGACCCATTTTTCTGCACCACTTGTTTTGTGCAAAGGGCTCTTAAAGCATATCATAGTTTATGTTAACAAAATGATTATTGTATCTGTAAGGACAGAGATGAGCATTTATCTATGTTGCTGACTCATCATGACAGGATGCCATGAAAAGACACAGAGCAAGAAAACACATACTTTCTTGATTTCCAGTAAGAGACAAAGTTCTCCTATACCTCTTGCAGTTACCTAGTTCTTCTCCAGCAATATAACCTTGGGAACTTCAAGAGTCTATGATTAAAACTAAGGTAGCAGATAGCACATTTACCCGCCAAATAAAGGAAAATAGTTTAGTTTTTCAAATTAATAATGCAGTACTGGAATGTGCTGGTAGTTATAAAAAATAAGAATCCAGAAATCAATAAGGAAAAGGCCAAAATCTGCAGAGGCAAAGACTTAAGAGGAGAGTCTACAGTCTGAAAAAACAAGATGACTTAGTTACAGGGTTGAGGCATGGGCTGCAAGGCCATATACTGAAAATCTCACTGGAGGGGAAAAAACGAAGCTTTGCTTTTGCAGTTTGAAGACCTTGTTAAAAATGCAGATGCCTGGACACCATTTCCCAGAGATACTGGGAGAGGTCTGGGGAGGGGCTAGGATTCTGCTTGTTAATAAGCAAGCTGGGTGATCCTGATGCAAGCAGTGCCTGAATAACACCGAGACACTGCCTGCAACTTGTAGTCACTAGTAGACTCTGCATATTGTTCAGATTGGCACTGGGCTAGAAAAAGAGCACACGTGAAGCTCATCGCTGAGGGCACAGTGAACGCTTTGGCTAACAATCCATGCTCCTTTCAAAGCAAAACTGCTGAAAAGAGAAATCAGGCAGTAGGTGTAGCATTCACAGTGTACTGGAAGTAAGAGAGTAAAATATTATGACAAAAGCTTGGTGAGACCAACTCTCTTTCAAGATACCCTGATGCTCCTTTGATCAGCTTGTGGGCAGTGTAATGGGGTTCCCCTGGTTGTCACTGGTCACTGTGAAGAGAGAGAAGTGCCTGGGGTGTTTATGGCCAAAGTGAATGGGTCACGATTCATGCCAAGTGCTATAGAATGACACTTCACACCATGTACTGATTTAGATTCCTAATAAAACCATATTTTAAAAAAATACACCCAAATCTGTAATGGGCATGTGTCGGTCCAGTGAAGTCCTCTTTTTTGGTGGATTGTCATAAACAGGCATCATTGTAATTTCTAATAAATTATCCTCTGGGCCTTTGTACTATTTTGAGCATCTTAGCATAAAGTTGCCCATTTATGCATTTCTTCCTCCAAAAGCCCTTATCAGAGCAAAAATATGTTATTTGAATTTATAACTGCTCCCCAGTGAGTTCCTGTAATGTGCAGAATGCAGGGGTTGGGAAGATGTGTCCCTGTCAAACTGAAGGTACAGAAGAATGTGACTTGATTGGACATGCAGTTGAAAACCTAGATGGAATCTTTTCTACTTGCCACCAAACTCTGCAGCCTGGCCTTGGTCACTGCCCATTTCTGAGATGCAGTGGCTGCTAGATATAGCCCCTGTCTGGCAGGAAGAAAGAATGTGGGATGAAAGCCACAAGACCTGGGAGATTTGATCCCTGGCTCTGCCACTTGCTGGCTGTGCAACCTCAGGCAGGTCATTTGCCTCCATTTTCTCTTCTGTAAAATAGGATGTTAAGGCTTGCAGAGGGAGCGGGTATGGCAAGCTATTTTGTTTCACTGACTCTGTTTCCTCATCAGTACAATGGAGATGATGTTTCACAGGTGAGAAAAGCACTTAACAGAAGGCCTGGTACGTAGCTGGTACCTAATAAATGTTACTTCCAGTACTGTCACCCCTTTGCTGTGAGGTTCAAGTCAGAGAACTGCACAATACACTAACAAATTGCAATGTTCTATTCAATGCAAACTTCTATATTCAAAATGACATAATTGAGCGCTTTATTATAAAATGCTAAATATATTGTACCTGGAATGTCATCATTTGAAGAATGCAAGCCAGCCAGAGCACTTTCGCGTTGAAAGAGGGTGGTAAACTGCCAAGACAAAGGTGAAATACTAGCTTAATCCTCTGCCCTTTGTTGGACAGTGAACACCAGAAATATCTAGAAACCCTCAAGGGACAGAGAACAACCATTGTGGCATTGTACACAGTAATCTCAGTGCTCTGCAGTCTCAAAGAATTATTGTCTAGGACTTGGTTGTTCCTAGGCATGACTTCTTATAATTCTTGCCAATTATAACACCCAGGTTTGGCCCCTGACATGGATGTGGGCTGCCCCAGTAGGATAATTTCAGGGGGTCAGGTGTCCCAGGTCGCAAAAATTATCAGCCATGCCTGCTCCCTTGCCCCTGGAGTTTGGAATGAATAAAACATTTTAAATCTTTCTCTGAGAGAAGATGATGATAGGGGAGGTCTTAAGAGAAGAATGGGGAAAAGGGATGTCCACTTTACTGCTCCTATCTCCTTTTAAAGAATTCTTAACAATTGTGAAGTCTGGAGCAAGTAAGTGGCGGTGTGGGGTTGCAGGAGCCTGGAGGCAGTAGGGCAGTGACAGTGCCTCAGATGCTGGCTTTGCTTTGTGGATTTTTATCAGATTCAGAAGCAGCATGACCCTAGAAGGGCACAAAATAGGGAGGTGGCTGGGTTTCAGGGTAGCCTCTCCATGGTGGTGGCAGTTAAAAAGGAAGTGGCAAATCAATGAAGGCCTAAATGCACGCAAGATGAGAGAAGAGTGTTTTGTATTGCTGGTGTGGAGGGCTGAGTATTATTGTAAAAGTTTAACTTTAATTCTTCTAGGAGA